GCACATTCGTTGCGAATTAACCCTTATGTGGCATGTGGGACAGATCAGAGTGTCAGACAGCGTTGCCGTTTTGATACAATTGTATAATTTTTGATACATTTTTTTCTAAATTCCACTCATCCGCTTTCAACTTCATTTGTTTTTGCGATTACGTTTTGAGCTCATTCTTTGTTTATCATCAGCTACGCCATCTCCTCTGAAATCAGGCGGGTTCGTTGACAAGCTGCTGTTGCTGTTTTGTAGTGTCAGCTGGGCGTGTTTATTTTATGATTTTGTTAATGCTAAATTCAGTTATAAGCTTTTGAACTAATTATTTAAATAATTGTGATTATAATACAATAACCTGATAAATGTGCCAATAGAAAAAGTACAAAACATCGTTTTTTCATAAAACAACCAGACATTAAGTTACTTGCAGCAGCATGGCTGTTTTGCCGCCTGATCCAGTTTTTAGCCTACGTTGCCCTGAAATGGGTCAAGTGAACTCGATTTGTTTCCACCATTGTGATCGCTTGCTAGCCGGCACGGTTAAGGGCAGTGTGTTCTTATGGGATTTGCAGGTGTGCATAAAACGAAATTCAAAAATTTAACCCAATTCAGTTAACCTAAAATAAACATATACTTTTGTAGACAAATCGATCATCATTGCATTTTGAAGTTGGCCAGCAGCCTATCACGAGCCTTCATCATACCGACGACACCTTGATAACACAGGAGAAAGGTGGTACAGTCACTTTGTGGTCTATGTCGAATAGTGGTTACATCCGTCAACGCACAATCGACGGTGATTTTGCGGCATTCTGTCACACTTCATTGTACACGCCACCAGAGGGCGGCGGTGAGCCACTGCTCTTTTATCCATGTGACGAAAATTCAATTGGCGTTTTGCATGTAAATTATGATGCCACTGCACTACCCCAAATGCTTGTGCCAGACGATTCACAATTGCCAAAGTTGGGCAGCGTGTCGTGTCTAAGACCCTTCGAATGCGCTTCACAACTATTTGTACTCGCAGGTTACGAGTCTGGGCACTTTCTAACCTGGGATTTAAGTTCTGGCGTTATTATCGATTTACTGCAATTGGATCCCGAACCTATGGCAGTGGACTATGACCCTTTAACCAATCGCGGCATTGTTGGAGGACCAAGTGAGTTCATTTTCGAAAAACTATATGTTACCCATTAACTTAACTTAAAATTACAGCCGAGAAACTCACTACCATTACATACCAACGTCAATCGATGCAATTGCAACGAGCAAACGATATCATTATAAAAAACTCTGGCATCAACTGTATACGCATACGCGATGACCAAAAAGTATTCGCTACGGGCGGTTGGGATGGCCGCGTGCGCATTTTTTCGTGGAAAAGTCTGCGTCCACTAGCAGTATTGACTGAACATAAGACTGCCTCGGGTGGTGGCATCATGGACATTGCTTACTCGGAGGATAAGGTGTCAATGTGGAAAGCTCGCATTATGGCTGCCGCAGGAACAGATGGCCAGATTACACTTTGGGATTTATACAACTGATTAGGATACTCTTGTACAGTTGAAACAGATATCAACCATTTTATATTGTGATTGCCCAGCTATTCCTTCAGCCCAAATGAAGAACATAAGCAAACATATTATTTTAGTGGCAATAATCCACTGTTTCGAAAATATAAATTTCGCAGATTTTTTCTAAAAAAAAAAAAAAAAAAAATAGAACTAAAATAGCTATAAACGAAATAAAATATTCCAATTATTTGATATTGGTCCAAAGATTATATATTTCTTAAAATGCAAATGTAAAAAATAAAACTGGGAAAATTATTTGAATCAGGATTTGCCCATAACAGGGCATAAACAGCGTAAAAATATTTATAAGGATTATTTCAGTCATAAAGAGAACGGATTATATTAAATCAAATCCATCCACATACTTATGTGCATATGTAGATGGCAGTGGCATAAAGCGATTGGAATTTAGCAATTAGTTTTGCTTGCAGATACATAGTTAATCGATAAAGTGGAAAAATATATTTAATAATGAAAATCACTCTGAATCAGAAATGTCGATAACTGGTGCATTTTTAACGCCACGTCTTGAGCGCGCATTTGCCAATGACTCCAATAGAGTAGATCGCTGTAATTCATATGAGACAACGTAGTTTTCTTTCAATACATTAGGAAGAGGTAAACCTGACTTACCGTAGAGTTAACAGATACATCCAAGGCTTGGCGTGTGGTACGTGTTGGAGGAGGTGCAGCACCTCGCCCACGTCCTCTACCGCGCCCGCGTCCAGCGATTGTTTTAGCGCCAGTTTCAGCTTTAGTCGTTTTCTTTCCGCGTGTGGAATTTATTGTCTTAGCAGTCGCAGGTCCCGCATCGTTATCACTATCATCGTTATCGTCTAGGAAAAAGTTGTTTCCTGTTTTGGCTTGCTTTTTGGTAGCTTTTTTTGCGAGCGGCTCAACATCACTATCATTTTCATCATCGTCTGGGATAACATAGGAACTCGTACCTCTCGCGGACTGTCTACTCTTGCTACTTGTGGAGGATAAAGACGTGTCGCTCACATTAGCTTTCACCTTTGAGCTTAAATTGTCTAGGCGATTTATTATATCATCTAGTGAAAGCGTTTTATTAAATGCTTCTAGCGATTCCTCGACTTCATCGTCGGCGGGTAGAGATTCCATTAAGTGTTCTAAAGCGCCATATTTGCAGTGTCTTGGGGAAAAATTTTCATATACTTATGTATAGATGAAATATATATAGAATAGTATTTTAAAAATAATTACTTTATGATGCCCTCAGCTGCGTTTACATCACCCTTTTCGACAAGACGATTGCAAATCTCCGACAATATTTTTGGCGAAAGGACTTTAAGCTGGCGCTTAGCGGGTATTTCTTGGAAATAACGCTCAATAAAGTTCTCAATTTTCATTTCGCTGCTTGAATCCTATGCGCAAAATTAAATTATTTTCTTAATAAAGTTTCAAAATCGAAGTTCAACTTACAATTTGTATTCCATCTAAAGCACCCCTTAAAGCCTCCTTGTCTCCATCGCTGTACTCTCCCTTAACACGTTTTAACACTTTTTTAAAAAGTATCATGTCTGCAGGATTGGCCACCTATAAGCAATGGTTATTTCTTTAAGTTTATTAATTAGGTTTTAATAGCACTTTTACCTGCTCATTGTACGACTGACCAAAGCGAATAGCATTAAACATTTGCTCCTCACTGGAGAATATGATACGTAGACGAATCAACGGCAATTTCGGTTGCTTCGGATGTCCTGTTAACTGTTCCTTGGAGCGGATGATCATATCTTCAACACGCTCTTTTGCCATGGCTATTACCTTGTTTGTTACATCACCTTCATCCAATTTTAGTTCTTCCGCTATTTGCGACAAATCTACCGAATCGAATACAAATGGACGTACAGTTTGTAGTGGCATCGGTTTCATTTGAAAACGTGTTTTATGTATTTCCAACAGGCCCACATGTTTCTTAAGGGCCTCACCCTCAGCCAGCGAAGTCGCGACAGATGATCCTGGTTGGCTAACATAGAAGTTGCGTTTTGCATTAAACTGTGGCTCAATATGGCAATCGTGTTCGTGTCCCCAAATAATTAAGTGCAAGAAATCGGGTAACATTTCCTCGGGTATATTACTTTTCGGACCGCGGTCAGCGTGGTTCTGATGGAGCACCATTAAGTGAAACCATTCACCTTCTTCTGAACTAGGATACTCCATGTTGACTTTAAAGTCCTCGAAAAGTCGACGCAAGCGTGCATCGTGGATATGACTTAAACCATAAAGTGCCAGTTGCGTTTGACCTTTACGTAAAAGTACTGGATTGATATTTACTTTAGTGAGGTCAGTCCAGCGGCCAAAGTAGTTTACCAATCCCGTGGTGGAGAGCAAATCAAGTGAACTAAGACGACCAAAACCGCTGGGGTCATCATGATTGCCATGTATGGAAAATACCGGTATGGCTACATTCAGATTTGGATCCTCGTAGTTGACCGTCTCATTGACTGCATTGTGAAAGTTTACAGCCTGATCACTAAGAAGTTCAATGTTTATTGGTTTATCGCCAAACGTGTAGCGCCGGAGCAGTTTCATACAGCTGAATGGAATAGAAATTGGCGTATAGGTTTCACGTAAAATACTGCACAAACCCACTTGTGTAACGTGTTCTGACTGGGTACGGCATCATGAAATAGATCACCCCCCAGTAAAATGAAATCTACATCTTCCTGCACAGCCAGTTCGAGTACTTCCTCAAAAGCTATGAAACTATCATCACCTAAAATGATGAAATCCGTATATAAAACTACAGAGGTTTTTATTTCAAAATCCAAATGCTTACCGCGCACTGCATTTTTCTCGGCATAGCCCAGATGATTATCCGTAGCCACCATTATGCGCAGCACATCTTCAGTATCTACTTCTTCACTCATTTTACTGGATCTTTGTTTCCTTAATGAAAATTTTGTTAACAAATTAAAAAGAAAACTCCAATTAGCGCAAATTTCCGTCCGACGATGAAATTTCCGAAATTTGCAAAATTTGCGCGTACAAACAGAGATGCATTTCACTAATGCAAGGCAAGTGATGTGCTGAATTACCGGTACCCAATACTTGAGAAAGATTCTGGCACCCAAACCCGATTCCATATATAATTGCCGCTTTTTTACATAATTTTCAACAGAATATCTGTCGAGAAAGCTGCATCGACTTTATTTCGACTAAGAATATGCTTCTCCCAAAAGTTGAACAATTTGTACTAAGCAATGTGGAAACCACATATCAAAGCACTTGCATCGCCCTCTTGATGTTGTCGCTACTGTAAAATATTATTTTTATCAGTTTCCACCTTCGTAGATCTAAAATTCAAGAAAAATGCTTTGATGGATGAATGAAGTCTTTTAGGCCAACAAGATAGCATCGTCCGATTCATCTGGAAAAAATGTTTCGATTAAGGAGGAGTTTCTCCGCATTGAGGCGATGGAAAATCTATATATATTTTTCATTTGTATCAGCATTAAAACCGCTGTTAGTCCCTGCACTTGCTTTTGATAAATCGTTTTTATTTTTGGTCTACACGCGTCCTTATTGGAAGCCTTATGTCTGGATTATAATGGAAGTAACGGAACGGAGTGAACTGTCACTTAATTATCTAATATATGGCCAATGAATTCGAACGATTATAATGCACTTGAACGTAACGTAAAACGGAAGCATCTAAAATCAATAGATCCTTACGAACTCGCCGCGATTTGTTACGATTCGCCCGTGCATTATAACCAAGGAATAAACGTTTCGACACGGAGTATCGAGAGGTGGTTATACAAGGCCGTATCGGCAGACCAAAAAGAAAAACTACACAAACAACCCTACAAGAATTGTGTGATGGAAACTAACACATTCTCATTTATCTTACTAACACATTTGCAAATTTTGCGTTGGTTAAAAAGAGACCAATATATAAGGCCATAAGTTGGAGGAAGACGGAAGATCATATGTACACAAATGTTTACATCAGATTTTTCACACTGCCCTTTAGAATGTGATAGAAACTTGTAGGTAGCCAGTGACAGAAATCTCTATCAGCCTTGCCAGTCAAATGATTTGTCAAATGATGGTCACTGTTCTTGCAGGGAAATGATACGCACATTGGCAATCAGTACAAATCAAAATTACAACAAACTCATCATTTTGACAAACAGTACGAATTCGCCTTGAAATCAACTGATCCGGTAACAGTACCTTATGTAAATCCGTATGTGGTGTTCATGGCGAATTTATACAAGGTGGAGTTGTAAAATCAGCTGATTTCTTCGACTTCCATGTATTTTGTTTTTGATTTGACAGCACACCTATCAAAAGCAAAAACAAAATACATGTAAACTTTGGAGCGAAGTGAGATTTGACATAACATCCGCAATACAAAATACATGTGGTTGTCGTTGTTGTAATCTAAATTCGCCAGTAACACCACCTTGTATAAATTCGCCTAGGTGGTCTTGTTAGATCAACTGATTTCTTCGCCTTACTTGTATTTTGTTTTTGCTTTTACTAATTTGACAGCACATCCATCATAAGCAAAAACAAAGCACATTTAAACTTTTGGGGCGAATTGAGATTTGACATAACTTAGGGTTTACACCGGACAATATTGTCAAGACAATTATGTCAAAATAATGTGTTTGTTGTAATATGAATTCGCCGTGTTTACAACAAACATCATTTTGACAATATTGTCTGGTGTAAACCCTAAGTAATACAACCAATGCAAAATACATGTGGTTGTTGTTGTTGTATTCTTGCTACCACTTTATATAAATTCGCCTTGGTCTTTTTAATAACACCGTAGCGTTGCCATATTGTCTTTCGGCATAGTAGAAAAAACTACAAGCGAGCAATCGAATTTTCAGAAAAGTGTGCTCAGAAGAAGCGAAGCAGGAAAAATGAATTTTAGTTATTATAACTATATTTATATTTATCAGAAGCTTAATAATAAGCCCTTTAATAGGCTTTTTTATGCATAATTTATTTAGACATTAATCAAGTTTTTATTAATCTTTCAATTTTTTTAAACACATTTTATTTACATTTCTACAACTTCTACATTTAAAATTCTTTTAAATACTTTAAATTTATTTATTTTTGTTTTCTTCATCTTTTTCTCATGCTCAAAGAAAAGTATTAAAATATTTATTTTTTTTAATCTGTTGATTAAATTTTTGACCACACTCGCCAATAAATAAATTATGAGGTTATGAACAACAAAAGTTTTTTTTATTTTTTTAGTTCTAAGGCTAACTTAAAGCGATGCTGTAGTTAAAAGTCTAACTTAAAAATTATTTTTGTTTGCATTACATACATATTAAATGTTCTAATGCACAATATATACTATTATTGGCATAACTGAGTTTTAAACGGCTTTTTGCCATCTATGGCATATGACACAATTTATTTTCGAGACTTATATATCATGGTGGGATTACACCAGGTGAAGTAGTAAGAGTGAGAAGAAAGATAATGGCATTGCTTTATTTGAAAACTTGAAATAAGAAATAAAGCAAGAAAGCTTTGTTTTTATCCTTCACCTTTTAATTGCGCCTTGTCTTACATATATATATATATATAATATTCTTTGAACTCACAATATGAAAAAAAATATTTATTTATGTTTGTTTAATAAACAACTAAAATATAACCTATAAATTTTTAAGAACTAAGAACTAAATTCAGTTTCTTACTTTCTACTTTTTGCTTTGCGCTTTAGTATTGCTGGTGCACGCTGTACTTCCCACACTGGCTGTTGTTGCCGCCTTTGCCTCAGCGTCCACGTTAAACGCTTCGTTTAAGTCCGCGCCATCGGCGTCCATCGCGGCGGCTTCCTTCAAAGCCAATTTTTGGAAATCACAATCGATAATTCGCTTTCGTTTTCGCAGTGGTCGACTACATTCGGCTACAGCTGTGGTGGGCGTGGTAGGTGTTTCTTTGGTTTGAATGAGCGTGCGCTTCGTTTGTAGTCGTGTAATTTTGAACTTCGGTAATTTTTGCTTAGCATCGTCCATTTCGCTCCCAGCGGCGGGTATATCATCCATTTCCATGCCTAAATCGCGTTTGGGGGTTTCCGTGTCATCTGTGCGCACGATACAGTGCGTTGCCTTACCGGAGATTGTAGGTGAGCAGGGTGAGTCCTCGGGAGAGGGCGTAACAGCGGTGGTCGCAGTGATATTTGTCGTGGGTGTAACTGGGGATAATGAAGTCGTTGTCGTCGTAGTCGCTGTCAGGTGTTCCTCCGATAAGGCGCGCTTAAGACTGGACCCTGGTTTTTCGGGCTCATCTCCTTCGAGTTCCTTTGTCTTGGTGAAGTCTAAAGGTTCTTCGTTCACAGTTTCTTCTGTGACTTCAATTTTTGGTTCACAATCGCTATCGTCCGCTGTCACCGCAGCAGTCGATGGCTCATTTGCGGCTGCATTGGCTTGACTATTCTCTTTTTGCTTCAGTTTGGCGCGCTCCTCTGGCGATAGATACGCCTTGTAAAAGTC